AAAGGTTATAATAAGTCTTCTAAAGAGGAGAGGTTAAGGACATTACTCTTGACATTTCTATAGCGTTTGATAAAGTTTAGCATGCTGGTCTCCTCCATAAGCTTTCTTCTTACGGTGTATCTGTAAACATCTTAAAGATTATTAAATCCTTTCATTCTAATCTTAGTATAAAAGTTGTCTTTGATGGACAGCACTCTTCTTCTTATTCTGTAACCTCAGGGGTTCCCCAAGGTTCAATCCTTGCCCCTATACTCTTTTTAATTTACATTAACGATCTTCAAGATATTCTCACATCTAAGGTGGCATTGTTCACTGATGATACTACCATTTATTCTTGTCACGATAAGAAGCCAACTCCATCTGATTGCTTGCAGGGGGCATCTGAGCTTAAAAAGGATCTCACTTCTGCTACAGCATGGGGCTCACAGTGGTTGGTGAACTTTAATTCAGATAAAAATCTTTTTTTTTTCAGCCAATCGTTATTGCAATAATTTAGACATTCTTATATTTATGAACGGTAATGTACTCGATGAGTCTCCTACCCTTCATCTTCTAGGATTAACTCTTACTTCTGATCTTTCTTGGAAACCTTATATCAAATCCGTTACAAAATTAGCATCTGCTAAAGTTGCTTCTCTTTATCGAGCTCGTCACTTTCTTACTCTGGATTCTATTCTCTATCTCTACAAATCTCAAATCTGGCCTTGTATGGAAAACTGTTGCCATATCTGGGGCGGATGCCCTTTCTCTTTTAGACAAGGTGCAAAAACGCATTGTAAACATAGTTGGACCTGCTCTTGCAGCCAACCTTCAACCTCTGTCACATCGTCGTAATGTTGCTTCTCTTTCTCTTTTCTACAAATACTATAATGGGCACTGCTAGAAAGAGCTAGCGTCTCTTGTGCCATCTACTAAATTTCATTCTCGTGTTACTTGTCATTCAATCAAGTCTCATCTTTTTTCTGTTACTGTTCCTAAGTGCTCTAAAAACTCTTATTCAAATAGTTTTTTTCCTCGAACATCAGTTCTTTGGAATTCGTTTCCTTCATATTGCTTTCCTGATTCATATAATTTGCAATCTTTTAAGTCGTCTGTCAATCGTTTTTTTGCTCTACAATCTTCATCTTTTCTCATCCAGTGACCCCCAACACTAATTAGTGGTTGCTTGTAGCCTTGTTGGAAGCAAAGATAATTAAAAAAAAAAAAAAAAAAAAAAAAAACATAAATAAACTATTAAAAGTTGATTTTTACCCAAATCATTCAAGCAAAATGGTAAAAATTCAAAACAATGGTAAGAACATAGATATTCTCTCCTATAACATTTTACTAGTTTTTGTTACATTTCTAATGGTTACAATTGTTAACAAGATTACATTCTCTTATTTTTAAATAAATGCTAATTAAATAAACTTGATAACACAGCAAATATTTGTTTATCATTGCCATATTGCTAATATTCGTATTTACTTTATTTTTTATTGTAAAGTAGCTTTGTCTCAACTAGTTACTTTGAAAAAAAAAAAAAAGTTTTATTTCACAACATTACTTATCAATTGTCTTTTTTTTTAATTTTTAAAAGTGTAACCAATTGAGGCGTAGCGTATCATAAAAAAAACCTCAGTTAAAATGTCTCAAATACAGATTTTTTTTATGTTACGTTATGTGTCAATTGTTTACATTTTTAAAAGTTTCAAAAAAACGTTACATAAAAAAAAATCTATATTTGTGGTATATTTTAATTGTCTGAAATTTGAGACATCAATTTGCTACGTTACAATCTCAATTGGTTTTTTTTTTTACTTTTGAAAGCGTAACCAATAGAGATGCAATTTAATGTAAAACAAAAGGTGCAATTACCTCTAAAATGCAGAATTTTTTGTTACTGTATTTTTATAATTTCAATAGAATTTATTATGTTTATATAAGTTTTATACTTTGGTGAGAAAAAATGTCGACTATCTTTAAAGCCAGTTTACAATAAAACATTGATTTTTCAGTGACTGAAACAACAATTTTCTAGTTTTTAAGTACAATTTTTGCAGATTTTTTTTTCAAGTCTTGAGATTTAATTTTTTTGTTGTAAACAACTAAAAAATAATAAACTAAGGAGGGGGGGTAGGGTAGGGGGGGTTAGTCCTAATAAACTTAGGATTGGTGGTAAAATTTTCCTAAAAATTTTTCAACGCCTCTTTCTCCTTTCTTTAATTATAAAGTATTAACATACTAACGTTAATTTTTTTATGTTTAGGCTAACCCAAAAGCATTTTTTGACTTACTCAAACTTTTTATTTAAAGAATTAAATTGTCTACAATATTTTAAAAAAAATCTTAAAAGAATTAAAACTAATTTATATTTTAATTAGTAATTAAGTAATGATTTATTTCTTTAAATAGTAAAGTTTCAATAAGTTTAAAATTTTTACCTGTTTAAAATTAAAAAAAAAAAAATTGCTTTCTTTTTTGTGTAAAAAAAAGTTTAATTTTTACTTTCAATCAGAGTTGTTAGTCCTTGGCTTTGGCCTTGTTCATGGTCAGGCCTTAAGGCCCAAAATTTTGGCCTTGGTCTTGGCCTTGAAACTCTTAGCTTCGGACTTGGACTTGGTCTTAGACTTGACATTTTTAGCCTTGGCCTTGATTGTGTTGGCCTTAATAAAATATATATATTTTCATAATGATTTCGTTGAATTCTGCGCATAACTTGAGTCTATTTTTAAAAAATGTAGTTTTTTTATCACAGCACTTGCTACCTATAATTTTGTTAATAATTGGCCTTAACATAAGGCAAAAAGTAAAGTGTTTAGTCCTAAAAATTTTAATCTTGCCTTTTTTCTTGGCCTTGTAACCTTTGGCCACAGCCTTGTAACGTGTGGCCTTGGCCTTGGCCCTGCTACTTTTAGTCTTGTTAACAACTCTACTTTCAATTAGTGACTTTGTCATAAAAATATTTTATTGTGCTTTTAAAGTTTAAAATAAACCCACATGCAAAAATATATATAAAATGTCAACTTGTTTAATTAAAACTTGTTTAATTATTTAAATTTACAACTGTTAAAATCTTTTTATTTGTTATGCTTGATAAGTATATTTTTTTACTTCTGTTATTTACAACTTGATTTATTTACAACTTGATATATACTTATGCTTATTCTAATATTTATTTTCATATACTTATATATGAAGATATTTATATATAAAATATATATATATATATATATATATATATATATATATATATATATATATATATATATATATATATATATATATATATATATATATATATATATATATATAATATCAAGAAACCACACACTGCAATGTTACATCTTGTAAGGTTAAAAATATTACGTAAAAATACCAGACATTTGCTAGTTAAAAATGTTATGTTGAGTTATGTATGGTTAACAGACATTTTGCTTGTATTGTAACCTGATTAGTTGCGAAACCTAAAAATGTTATAGGGGTTTTATGATAAATAACTTTTAAGTAACAAATAAATTTGAGATGTCCCTCATTTCTTGTATTTATTACACAGGTCAGCAAAAAAAAAATTTTTTCTGTTGTCGAGCAAACAATTAGTTTTTTTTATAGTATTTCTTATTTTGATAAAAAAAAAACATAAATAGTTTACCTTAAAACATATTAACAAAAAAATTTTGTAAAAAAATCCTAAAGACTTTAAAAAATTTCAACAAAATGTTTCTCAACAATGATACAAATGTACTTATTTTTATTACAATTGAATACCATTTTAAAAATCTTAATGAAAATATGCTTTTTTTAAGACCCAGGTTGACATACATTTGAATAACTTTTTTTTTAACAATATTAGGGATTTTATCCCAAATACTAAAGATTTAAACCAAAATATCTTTAAAACTTGATGTGATGGTGAAAAATGAATTGCACATTCGAAATCAAAATGAGAAATGCTATAAAAAAAAACTAATTGTTTGTTCAGCACCAGAAAATTTTTTTTTTTGGTTTCCTGTGTTATGAGTAACAAGAAGAAGAAGTAACATGAAAAGTTTGTAATTTAAAACTTTTCATATGTTAAGCTATACAAATTAATGTTTTGAGTATAATTCGAATTACTAAAAAATTTAAAGTTTTTTTATTAATAGTAGCTATTTTGATCAGATTTGTAGAAGAATTTGAAATATTTTTTTTCTATTTTTAACAGCGTATTTAACAGATTATAAAGTACGTCTAGTTGTTAAACAACATATTTTAAAAGTAATTAACTAACACAATATATTATTTGAAGTTAATACAAATGATATTACGATATATCAGTGAAATCCTTAAACTCCCTAAATAACAAGGATATTTTACACAAATCATCCAGATTTATATTGCAACCATGGTTAGAGTGGGATTCTAACTAAAAGCATAAATTGCAAGAAATGTTGTTAAAGTTTATAGCTTGTCTCATAATGATATGAGAAAAAAAGTAGCAAAGTAAACTCAATAAAAAAAACTTATTAATATTTAAAATTTAGCTATTTATTAGCTATTTTTTTTTAAATAGAGGAAGCATATTACATGTTATTTTATTTATTGTGCTTTTTAAAAAAAAGTTTTTTTGTATGATTCTAGTATTAGTAGCATCCCTAATAAGCATTTAATTCTGGAAAATAAAGTCTCAGTGAAAAGTTAATCATAAAATAAAGTATTTGATATATGGCTATATATAATACTTATTTGACAGATCATTATGAACATTGAGTAGTTAAACAACATATTCTAAAAATAACTAACTTAAACATATTCTAAAAGTAATTAAAACAGTGATTTTAAAAGCAAATAAAAATACAACTACTATTATAAAAAATTTAAGAAGATTTAGCTTAATAATGACCTACTTAAAAAAAGGTTTCATAAAAATGCCACCTTACCATGGGCCTGTATATGTTAACTTTATGTATTTTCTAATAAAGATATTTTCTTGGTAATAGTATATTGTCATTTTATAGGTTTATTGTACTGATTATTTTAAGGCTACTACAACAAAATGGGAAATTGTCTATTTAGCAGTTCAGTTAAAAAAAAAGGTATCTGTTTTTTTTTTGTCAACCAAATTTTTTTATTTTTTCACTTATTTTAATGATTTTATTTTGAAACTTTAAATCAATCGGCAAAAATTATAAGGACGAAGTCATTTAAATCAGTAAATAACAAGGATTTTTGACACAAATTTTATTATGATCAGTGGTGGATGAGGCTAATTGCATTATTTATACTCTTTGCAGCCCTAACTACATTTCTTTGTAAATATCTAAGTTTAGTATTTCAGAGTATAAATTCAGGTAACATTTTTAGTGGCATTGAGTGTAAAAAAAGTTGTAAAAAACAAAAAAAAAAAGGCACCTATTTACTCTATCCTGGTGTAATTTAGTTCATTAATAGATTATAATTCTATAATAATGAACATGCATCACTGAGTGCAAAGTTAAAAGAAATGTTTTTTAATTTTACTTTTGCAAACAATTAAAAGCCAAACATTTATTATAGTTTCAAATTGGTATTGAAGATTACTTGGTATATATTTATAATCAATTTGAATTAAACATGAAACTATCTTTTTCTAGATTACAGCCAAACTATATTTGTAAAATAAATTCAAACTACAAATAAATCAGTGTTTTTTAACACAGCAAATTTGCATAAATTTTTTTGAACAATTTGCTCTTTTAAAAAGCACTAATTCTTATGTCTGACTTATAGAGGATATTTATCATAAATAAAACAAATAAAGATTTAAGAGTTAAACTTGCATGATTAAGTAAGCAGCATTAAATTAAACTTTAGTTATATAGAAATAATTAGTTTATATTTAAGACTTATAGTTTGTTATTTTTCTCCTCTACCTCTGTCATGTTTTCATGGGTTTTCTTGATTATTTAAAGTTTGTAAGAGTTGGTTTAACTCATTTATACAACCATCATTTCTAGATTGCTCTATTCTGAATGACACTGCTACATTAGGATCATATATGTTTAAATGACAGTACGTGGGTAGAAAACCTTTTTCAGGCCTTCAATTTCCAACACAATGCAAAATTCGCCCGTAATTCCTAAAAGAGAATGGGCAATTATTTGAGGGATGAGGTATTTTGGCTGTGAAGGAAGCAAAAAAAAGAAAGCAATCATAACACCTATCCAGATAACTTTTATTTCTATGGCAGTTTATTTCAGCTTACCTAGGCTAATCTCTTTCATTTCAACAACAATTTACCTCAGCTAACCCACTCTCTAAGCTCATCTCTTTCATTTTGGTGATGGTTCAATTCATTTTGCCTAGCCTGGTTTTTTTAATATCAACAAAACATTATAATTTTACTTCTTTAGATATCAGACATAACTAAGCATTAAAGGAGTGTGTAAAAATGTATAATATAACAATACCAATATAATAAAAGTTGTACTTTTATTTTAAAGTAGAACTTTTAGTTTTCTTTCTCAACTTACCTTAAATAAAGTGTAAGCAAGTAAAAAAGAAGATAATTTAATAATCTAATAATCTTTAATCTTTAATAGTCTAATTATATTCTACATCTACTATTAGTCGTATTTAAATTAGATGTTTTAAAATACCATAGCAATCTGTAAAGATAACATGTTTCTATGAAGAACTTAAACTAAAGTTATAAATAAATTGATATAATCTTTATAAATGAGTAATGTTATATATTTAATGTAGTTATTGACAAAATATTATTAGTATTTGATAAAAAAAAAATTAAATTCATTAAAGTTACACAATTTTTACAGATAAGAACTCACAAATAAGACATATTGAAAAAGTTATAAGGGCTATTTTGCTCAGCAAATACTACTAGCATTAAATTGTGAAATTTAATCCTTCCTCAAAAAATCCTTTTCATTATTTGAAACGCATTTAATGCAAGATTAAGTAAATACAAAACTAATAATAGAAAACCTCTATAAATATATGATATATTTGCTTTAAGTAAAGAAACTTAAAAGTATTAAAACTTCTTAAACTGTTTTAATTTTTTATATATATTTAATATTTTTAAGAAAAAATTCAATATATAAATCATTAAAAAATTATTATTAAAATAATAACCCATATAACCTTAACACATATAAACACATAATAAATAAAACTCAAGTTTAAATAAATATATAAATTAAGAAAAATATAAAATTAGAGACTTTATATATACAACCTTATTTTTGTAATATTTGTTTAATGACATACCTTGTATTAAATATTTAACAACTTGGAAAAACAAACAATCAAACAATCAAACAATCTGGTTTTCTTTATAAAAGCAAACATATTTTTCTTTAACTTCTTTAAAAAAGGTATTAGACGATCTTGTTTATTAACATGTAACATAGAGTTGACCTTGTGAGATGCTTGGATTTTCGAGTCAAACACTAACTTTATCAAGAGTTTGACCTCTTAATCTTTAAAAAGAGCAACGTCTTCTAGAGTCATCACTGTCTTTTAATTTAAAAATTACAGATTAATATACTTAAAATACAATTGACAAAGGATTAGAATTGTTTTATTATTATAATGCATGAATTAATGCAATTATCAATCAAAATAATGCAATAAATTACCTTACTTTAAAAGTTACTTTACTAATTCAAAAATAGCATAAGGTTTATCCTTTACTAGAGAAGTTATCAAATAAAAATCTTATCACTATTTAAGCTTGTGAAGCAAAGTTTTCAATCTTATTACTTATTAAGCAAATATTAACAGATTATTAAGAATTAAGAGTACCTCATCGCTTGAGTTATATTATAAAGAGAAAGAGCATGCTAAGTCCTATTTATTATAAACTAAAATGGCAAGTATGGTAAAGACTCGGCCAAGTATGGTTAAAAAGTTCTTGGGAACGCGGAAAAATGGATAACAGCTGCAGCAGCACCAGTGTTAATTTAAGTTTTAATTATAAGCCATTCTATAAAAATGGTTAAATATGCACTAAGTGAATTGTTTAAAGAAAATTTTTTAAATTTATCTTTGATAACAATTTAAAGCCTATAAATATAATGATAATGATAACAAATATAAAATGTAAAAATGATAACAAATATAAACTATATGTGTAATATCAATTCAAACTACAAATAAGTCAGTGTTTTTTTAACACAGCGAATTTGCATTGTTTTGAACAAATTGCCCTTTTAAAAAGCACTAATTCATATGTTTGACTTAAATAGGATATTTATATATAATATTAGAGAAAAAACCCTCACTCACAGGTTATGATGTGTGTAGACAAAGTAAAAAGTTTAAATTTAAAAATTCGGCCTAGAGTTGGAAATATTAGTGGCAGTAGTTTTTTATGAGGAGCCCATGTACGAGTATACAGATGAAAGTTTGTATATATGCACATCATAAATTTTTGTGGCTAAAATGGAGTTGGTACAAATCTATGGATTGCCTTGATACCAAATTAGTTTTTGGTATCAAGGCAATCCCTTCCCATGGGAGTCAATTTTATTGAAATCTGTCTACCTGCTTGGGTAGACAGATTTCAATAAAATTTTGTTGGCATGCTAATATGTCAAAATGGCATACAAGCTATTTAAAACTGTCAAATTCAAATTGTACCCATTCCATGTGAGTATTTTTTGATTTCTGCATGGGTAGATGGATTTTGTAGGCATGTTACTATTATTTCAAGAAGACATATAGGCTACTTATTAAAAAGTCAAAAAATGATTAACCCAAGAAATTATATTTAAAGTGTATATCTCCATAATAACTTTTGTGGTTTATAATTATATATTGACAAATTGTTTGTATTTATCTATCCAAATTAGTATTTTTATAATGAATAATTACATTTTGATATGTTGGAATTTATTTTGCCTTAAAATTTGATTTTGCATAACATCGATTTTAATATTTTAAGTAGGTATTATGCTTTTAAATATATATAAAATTCTTTTGCTTTTTGCATTAAACCAGTTAAAAAAGAATCAGGTGGTGATGATGACAGTGTTAAATCACTACTTCCAAAAGCAGAAGAAAAAAAAGAACACAAAGAAGATACCGAAGATACCAATGAAAGATTTACACCTGGTAACTTTTATGTCTTTAATAATATATTACATAATAACTTTGTTTTTGGTATTATTTTTTGATCTGTCATTTAGCTTCTCTACTTGACTTATGTCTTGTTTCTGATTCTAGTTATTGCTCAGTTTCTCTACATTCACCCTTAGGTGATTCTGATCATGGCTTGATCTCTTAAAAGTAATACTTCATTCTTTTTTTATCACCTCATTCTTTTTCATCACCTGTTAACCCTTATTGTTGTTCCTTTTACAACTACCTTCAAGCTGACTTGGACTCTTTGCATGTTTTTCTTCTGATGGCCTCTAGGTAGAACTTTTTGATCTTCCTACTGACAAATATAATTTTTTTTGATTTAAGCAGGCATGAAATGATTTGTGGATTCTAAGTCAAGCCTCTCTCTTCTCCATGGTTTTCCTCTTATTGTGCTGCTGCAATATTTAATTGAAACCATTGTTTTCATAACTATTGCCAAAAAATTCTTGTGCAAAACAGGCATCTGTTTACTATCACTAGAAACCATTGTAAAAAGGTTTTGTCTAACGCTGAAGCCCGCTATTCTTTAAAATGTCTATAATCAGATCAAATTTGTTATTCCACCTCTCTTGCATGGTTCAAATTTTGTTACCTCAACCAAAGAAAAAGCTAAACTTTTTGCCTAGAACTTTTCATCCATCTTAAATCTGCATTCCATTTATCATATCTTACCTGATATAGTCGACAAACAGGTTGACCTTTGCTTGACATTCATTTCACTTCAGCTTGTGTATCTAAAGTGATTTTTTGCTTAGGCTCTTCTACAGCTTGTGGTCCAGACATTATACCTGTTACAGTTTTGAAGAAGTATTATCTAGAGCTGTTGTCATTAATTTTAGAACTATTTATTAAGTGCTTCTCAGAATCATGTTTCCAGTCTGCTGAATCTGTGGCATCTGTTATCCCTATTTTAAAAAAATTCTGAAAAACGATCTAACTTGCCTAACTACCATCCCATTTAGTCTATTTCTATCATTTGCAAGGTTTTTGAATTTTTAATTATCAAACATTTAATCTCTTACCTTGAATCTAATAACTTTCTGATCATCACTATTGGTTTAGATCTCATTCTACTGCTGATTCCTTAGCATTAAACACTGACAGGTTATATTAAAATTTTTAAATAGATGTTAACTATTGCTATAGATATTTCTGAAGAACTAAGGTTTTCATGCTTTTTATCTCTAAAAGCTCTCTTCTTATGGTGTATCAGGTAACATATTTTTGATTATTGATTCCTTTTTTACTAACTTAGTATAAAAGTTGTCCTTGATGGATAGCATTATTTTTTTTCTCTTTTCTGTTACTCAATAGGTTCTTTAAAGTTTATACCTATACTTTTTTTAATATATATTAACAATCTTCCAAAAATGCTCGCTTTTAGGGTGGTATTGTTAACCGATAATACTAACATTTATTCTTGCCTTAATAAGAAGCCAACACCCTCTCACTGCTTAGAATAGGCATTTAAGCCTAAAAAAGTTCTCAATTCTGTTACATCAGGCTCTTAGGGCTGGTAAACTTTAACTCAGATAACAATAAATTTTTTTAAGGTAATTGTTATTGTAACAATCTAGATCTTAAGAATGGTAATGTGCTCTAGTATTTGTTAACACTCCAATATTTATGAACAGTAATTTGCTCGATGAGTTATCTACTCTCCTTCTTCTAGATTTAACTCATACTTTCTTAGAAACCATATATCTAATACATTGAAAAATTATAATCTGCTAAGTTTGCATATCTTTATTTTGCTCATTACTTTCTTACTCTGTTATTATTTATCACTATAAATATTTTGGAATACTTTTGTCATATTTTTGAGCTGATTTTCAAATGATGTTCTTTCTTTTTTTGACAAGGTGCAAAAATGCATTGTCAACATAGTTAGATCATCTCTTGTAGCCAACCTCAAACCATTTTTGCTTTTCTCTCTTCATTCCAAAATACTATAATAAGTGCTGCTAGCCACTCTTGTGCCATCTACTAAAGTTCATTCTTGTGTTACTTGTCATTTAATTAAGTTTCATCGTCTAGTTTTTCTCTTTGAAAATCAGGTCTTTGGTATTTGCTCCCATTGGAATTTATCTTGTTTTTCTGATTCAAATAACTTACAAGTGGTTTCTTGCAGTCTTGTTGGAAGTGAAGATGTAAAAAGAATTACAACTATATTTATAAATTAATAATTAAACTATAAGTAGCTTTTAATTTTTCTCTATCTTATTATCTGCATAATAATAATTATTTAAAGACGTTTAAATTTTACTTCAGTTTCTCAGCAACAGACATTCAAAGAAAATAATAGTTTTTACTTAAACAGGGGTACAAAGTATAAAGTTGATAAAAATATTTTTTCATTATGTATTTCTTCCCTACTTATAACTCAAAAAAAGTCTCTATTTTTAGCATAATCTATTCAATTTAGCATAAATAGTTTTTGCAAAGTTATAAATAATATACCAATATTGATATATTATTCATAATTATTATTTATAAATCTTCTGATTAATACTTTATAAAAACTTTCCTAACCAATGTGTTTTTAATTGAAAGTTTAAGTTAAAAAAAAAAACTTTTTAGATATTTGAAGTTGCATTTATTTTATTTGCATCACTGTTAAAAATTATATGCATTGCCTATGGCTCAATGAATTTTGATCCAGGGCAGTTTATCACATGTAGTTATGATGACAGGAAAATTAATAAATTTTTTTTGTAACATGAAAAGTAGCTTAATTGTAGTACACTTCACAGGTTGTTACATTTTTGTTTTTTGTTAATTTAGATTTTTGTTTATTGTTAATTTAAAAAAAAAAAAAAAATAGTGTTGAATTTAATAAAACATTGTTAATCAAAAGTCTTTAATCAATAATTGTTGTGTTTATCCTTATGTTTGTTTACTTTTTTATTGCTATAAATCTTGGTTTCAAATATTTGAATCTTAACACTTTTAATGTATCAGTGTTATTATTAATTATGATCTAATAAATCACTTTATGTAGATCAATTTTTTTAAATTTCTTATAAAATTATTTTTATATCCCCAACTTTTTCTACTAACTTTTTCATTTATTTTTATTTTAATAAATCTATTTGCTTTTTTGTTTTTGTACACATCAAAATTTAAATTTTTTGTTTTTAGTGTCTAGAAATGAATTGGCTTTTGATGACTTGATTTCAAATTATTGTGGTGAAATAAGCTATAATATTGGGAGTGATTGGTTGCGATGGGGAAGACACCTCGGTCTAAGTGATTCAGATCTTGATAATATTGGCTCTGATAACAAAAATTGTTATGAGAAAGCTGATAATGTTTTAAAAAAATGGAAGCAAAAAAATGGAAATCCTTCGTTGGAGCAATTAAAAAAAAAATTGCTAGCTTTTGATCGTTTAGATATTGTGAATAAAATTGAAAAAATATTTGAAGGTAGAGTACTAAACTAGAATTATATTTCCTTTTATATACTTTTAAGTTTTATATTTCATAAGTTTATAAACTCTTTACAAAACAATTGTGAAACAATTCACATGTAATGTTCATTTTATATGTAATGGTTTTTGTTTATTTATTTATAGTTTTAAAACAATTATTTTTTTCTTCATTCATTTAAGAAAGTACTAATGATGAGCTATTTATTAAAATATCTCCTCTTTTTGGAATAATTACCAAATTTAGAAGTAAATGATTTTTTAGTATCAAAGTTTTTTTTTTGCATACGTTTTTCCATTCGCATTAATGTTTTAGATTGATCATAGAAAGAACATCGATTAGACTATTTGTCTAATATTAGTTTATGAGCAGTAGACAAATACTTACTAGTCACATTCTTTAAAAAAAATTGTTGATAGATTTTTTGCTTTGTTGAAGCACAAAAAGCTTAAATTAAAAATTAAAACTTAAATTAAAAATTAAAAAAAAAAAAAAATGATTAAAACTGTGAAGTAGTATAAAACTATATAATTATTTGAAAACTTTTTTTTAACTATTATTAGAGAAAAAATTATTTTATATCTTATAATTTTGAGCAAAAATGGCATGAGATAACTTAAATCTTATATCTGGGGCAAGGCATGTGATGCATTTTTCAAAGTAAGTATGGAGGGGGGAGGGGGGCTTAGCAAACTCCCTCATATGAAAAAAATGTAACTTTAGAATAGATGTAAGTAGGTCAAGATACAAATCAACGAATAAAGGTGGGTGATTTGGATCATTCAAAGATTGAGGAAAAGATTAAGAAACAGAGAAGTTATGAGTTCTGTTGCCAGCAGACTTAGTGTTCAACTAAACAATTGAGTGTGATAAGCATTAAAATTACAAAAAATAAACTATTGACAAAATTAGTATTACAACAATATTTATAGTGTCAAAATAAAAACACTATTGACACAAATAACAACAACACTGTAACAATACTAATACTAATAACAGCAATATTGACCATGCCAAATCAGAAAGATATTTAAACAATTGCATTCACGAGAAAAAGTAGATAAAGAACAGAGAGAATGTTGATTCACATAAAAGGTGCTAAGTAGAAACACATAAAATAATGGTCAGAGGATTCAAATATAGTATTCAAGCCACTGCAAACCCCAATATTTTACAGAAATAAGATCAGAATGAAGATCAACTGTCTGTTCTGTCTTGTTTATGAGGAAAAAGAGAAGATTTTTTGTCAAGACAGGAGTAAAATGTATAAAGTCATCAAAAAATAGATCCACTTTAGGTATAAGGATGTTAGGAAAGTCATAATCTTAAATACCCACTTAGACATACCATATGAAGCGAGCTTTTAGAGAAGACCAACATATCAAACTTTATCAAAAGTTTTAGATATGTCAAGAGCAAAAACCCTTCTCTTAATGCACGGTAGTATCTTTCAGTCACAGCAGTCATTTAGTCAGTCATTGAGCAAGAAGATTGAAAACCATATTGTTTGTCTGACAGTTTTTTACTCATAATGGGATGTTCAAAATTTGTAGGTCAAAGGCTCAAAGACCTTTTTAATAACATAAAAACTGGTTTTTTAATAACTTAAAAAAATTGGTTTTTTAATAACATAGAAATTAGTTTTTTAATAACATATAAAAATTGCTTTTTTAATAACATATAAAAATTGGTTAAAAATTGGTTGATAGTTTAAAAGGTCAAAATTTTCTCTGGATTTTTTCAAAGATGAAACCAAAGATGCCATTTTATAGCAGGCAAGAAAACACAATTCAATAAAGTACTATTTCAATAGTTAAGAAAGAATTGAGTCAGGGATTTCTAAAAAAATAGATTTGTAAGACTTTGAAAGAAATGTAGTCTGGACTTAAGCAACATAAGCCTGTGTGATTTGAATGCCTAACAATAGATTAACCTGTTTAATTAGAATGAAATAAAAAGTATGAATTTGACTCTTGAATCTTATGACAGATTCAAGAGTTAAATTAGAAGAAAAGTTCTAAGCAAATAGATCTCATCCATGGGAGAAGTAATAAGATCAGCCCCATAAGTAAGTGATGGAATGCTAAACTTATCTTTGTTAATGACTATGTTAATGACTTACAGAATTACAGAATTCTCTAGAGCCTAACTTCTGACAATTGATAAAAAATTTAGTAAACATTTATTAATTGGGCTTAGCATCAGACAGCACCTTTTTACATTACTTTCTTGCAATAATAAAAAGGCGTTTTGGCCATTAGCCTAGGGATCTTCATCAAAAAAATAACAAAATAAATCCCAGTCTGCTTTAGAGTAGTAGTAAGTAGTGCTATGTTAGTCCGAAGAAGAACTGAGCACAAGCTAGGGTAAGATACAATACAAACAGTAGTGTTATAACTAAGCGCTTTAGTGCAATGAGCATTTAAGTTACAAAAATCAACAATATTGTGAGAGGGGTATGCAGAAAGGGAATAGTAAATTTGAATAGAAATCTAAACAAGTACAGTCTTGAGAAAGAGAACTAAAATAAAGGTTTATGTGATAGAGTGAAAAGATGCTAAGTGGAAGTACATAAAAGAATGATAAAGGATTTAAACCTTTATCATTCTTTTATGATTTTTACACAAATAGACGAAGCGATGCGTAAATATATCTCCCAGCCAAGCATTTTTTGGCTAATTGTTATCACAACAGTGAGATAAACCTTCCTTTATTTATGAATGATAATATACTTGATGAATTGTTCACCCTTTGTAACTCTTACTTCTGATTATCTTGGAAACCTTATATCAAATCCATTGCAAAAATAGCATTTGCTAAGGTTGCATCTCTTTATTGTGCTAACAATTTTGCCGGGAGCTATTCTTTATCTCTATAAATCTCAAATCTGTCCTTGAAATGAAATACTGTTGCCATATACAAAGCAGGTCTTCGAATGATGCCCTTTCTCTTTTAAACAAGGTGCAATAACGCATTGAAAACATAGTTTGCACCTGCAGCCAACTTTCATTAATTGTCACATCGTTGTAATTTTGCTTTTCTTTTTCCTTTCTGTAAATACTATAAGAGCTAGCATCTCTTGTGCCAGCTACTAAAACTTATTTCTGTTTCACTCATCATTCAGTTAAGTCTCATCCTTTCCGTGTGACTTTTCCAAATTGCTCCAAAAGTTCTTATTTGTCTAGTTTTTTTTGTTTCCCTCATCTTGCTTCCCTGATTTATATAATTTGCAATATTTCAAGTCGTCTTAAACTCATAAATTAAATTTTAAACTCTAATTTTATAAATTTTAAACTATAATTTGCTATCTTTTAAGTTGTCTGTTAATTGTTATCTTTCTTTATAAACTTTGTCATTTCTCTTTCAGTAACTCTAATAATGGTTGTTTGCAGCCTTGTCGGAAAATAATAGGAAAGTAAAGATAATAATCAGGATTTTACAAAAAACACAGAAAGATGTATTATGAGTTTTATAGGTTCAACACTTTATTTTTAAATGAAAAAGCCAAACTTCTAGCAGCTCCATTTTTGGCAAGCTGCCTGACCTGATTTTTCTGTAAATTCTTAGCATTTTTACAGACACTTTCAGTGTTTTAAATAAAGTTCTGATAAACAAAAATGTGGATAAAATTGAATGATTTTGATATTTTATTAGGTTTCTTATAGTTTCACAGCACTCTTTTCTTTTCCCTCAGTTTGTTAGGTGCAGTTTTGTTTGTGTTTGTTTTGCTTTGGTGGTGTTCTGCCTTGTTTTAGCTCTACTTGGTTTCAACTCTCTTAGATTTTCAGTTACATACTTGTTTGTTAAAAGGCCTGAAACATATTCAAAATTTGTTTAAATTTTTCCTGGGAACAAAAAGTGTTTAAAAAGATATTTGTAATTAAACCTTGCGGGAATAAGTTAAACACTATAATTTTGTTTTCCAGAATTTTCATTTTCTTTTTTTTTTTCAATTTCATTTTCTGTAGTTCTTACATTAAGTTACATTGTAGTTTTTTTAATTTTTATTGTTTTTTATTTAAAGTTGTTTTTTCAATTATTATCTTAAGTTTTATTTATGAGTAAGATCATTATTAAATATATGTTAAAAATTATTATCAAAAACAATTTTTAGAGATTTCAAGTTCACCAAATAAAGAATCTGATTTTTCTTCTAATAAAGGTAATTATTTTAATTTGTTTACTTAAAGTTTCAAAATGTTTACAGTATTTATAATGATTAGTGACAATTAAGTTCAGTTATTGAAGCTTTGTTTGCTTTAAAAGTAGAAAAATTTGTTTAAGTTAAATAATTTCATTTCGTTCAAATTTAGCTTCAACATTTGTTATTAATTGTGCGTTGGTATGTCTTCATACTTACTTCAGTTCATACTTCATCTTATTTCAGTTGCTTATTTTATCATTGCTGCTATTTATCAATTTCTTATATAGTTTTAAAAAGTTCATTTTAAGAAGCCAACACTCTCCGATATTGATGAATCTATATTTAAAAATATCTATATGGATCAGTTAAATCTCTTTTTTTTTTCTATGACTGCTCCTAAGTACAAATATCTAGATATGGAATATCTAGATATGGAATATCTTGATATGGAATATCTTGATACGGATTATCTAGATACGGAATATCTAGATACAGAATATCTAGATAGGGAATATCTAGATAGGGAATATCTAGATATTGAATATAAGTTGCTAAATAAATTTAACAACCCTTGTATAACCCTATTCCATAGGGTTATATTATGGATTTACAACTCTTATATTCCATATATTTGCAAATAAATTGCAACTATGCGCTTTTATTTTTTGTAACAGGATTATTAAATTTGTATACATATATATATATATATATATATATATATATATATATATATATATATATATATATATATATATATATATATATATATATATATATATATATATATATATATATATATATATATATATATATATATATATATATTAAAAATCTTGTTTTTTGTAAATTTCATAATTTTAATAGTGTTTCATTAAATAAGTTGTTTATTGTTTTAAAATTTAATTTTTAATATATGTACCATCAAAATCAAATCAAATATATATATTCTGAATAAAGTTGTTACATCAAGGGTATTTACAAATAGTAATTTGTACTAATATAAAGTAAACACCTGTCAAACTAAATAAAAATGAGATGGAGATAGTAATAATAATGGTTAAAAGATTAAATAAAAAGAAAAAAAATGGTTAAATAGAGCAGTTTTAAATTTTGAGAATGATTTAAGAGATTTTAATTGGGAAGAGAGATAGTTCCAGGTTTGTATGCTTTTATGTTGTATGGATTCGTAGCCGTAATGAACAGTTCGGTATTTAGGTACAGATAATTTGAAAAAAAAAGTTGAGAGCAGATCGTAGAATATATTTACAGTTTTCCCTCTAACTAAAAAAGTTAATAAATGTAAGAGGAAAGTTAAATATCAAACAAATCTATTAATATGTAATAATTATTAATATTGTTTTATAACACATTTTTAAGGAAACATCAGCATGAAAAATAAGGAAATGAAAGCGAGCGGTCAATTTGACTGGTTAACTCTAGGCATTGGCCATTTTTAAAAAAGTTTCAAAAAAATATAAGGACCCATAAATTTAAATTTCCAAAATTATCTGTCATTTAATGTGGGGTTACCCTTCTATTGTCAATATGTATCTAAACTTTTTTTAAATTTTAAATTTTCAAACAATTTATAAAGTTTTACTTAAATTTGTTAAGGTTGAAGTATTTACTTTGCATGAGAAAACCATTGTGATATGAATAAATAACTATTGTTTAAAAAAAAAGTTGATAAATATCAATGATTGTTGATTTATTGATTTATTGATATAAGGTTGTTTTGTGATTATTGTGCCAACAATCACAAAACAACCACTTTAATTTGAAAGACACTACAAAGTAGATCTAAAATGAAGCAAAAGTAGCTATATAATCATTCATGAAATAGTTTTTCAAAATAAAACAACTAGAGGAAAAAAAAATGTAGAAACTAAAATATTAACCCAGTTTCTTTTATGGTACATTATTTTTGGTACACTATAAATAACATTCTACTATTACTGATAACAGAAAACTATTTTATTCTTTTACTATTTTATTATCATCCATAAAGTACATGACATTAAGTTTAACTTCTAAATAGAAGTATAATCATTTGCTCTCTTGTGTGGAGATTTTAATTCTAATTTCTGTGCGGTAGCCATAAACATCCTACTTCTAATTTAAAGTTGAATTTAGTAAGATTTACTCAATGAATAAAATACATTACAGTATTTTACTTATAATACCTATATACAGTAAATTTACCTATAAACTACAAGAAGTTCTAAGTTCTGTACCTACATTGTCCTTGATAGTACCAGGCTCAGTTTTTTTTCTCCGTGCAGTGGCCTTGTCTGAATTAGTGTTGTAGTATAATAATAAAAAATAATTTTGTATATAGTATTTATACTATATACAAATGTTATCACTGAATTCAAAAATAGGAACTTTGCATTCCTTCTTGTCCGGACCAATTAAGGCGTCATCTGGAATAATTTTGTTGACATCTTCATTTATGGCACCATCTACCTCCACCGGTTGAATATCACTCTGATTTCTTATAAGTTGATCACTACCAGGATCAATGATGGATGATGAGGGCACTTTCAAGGCCATCTGGTTTAAAAAGTAAATCTTCTGAACCATCAGAAGTCACTAAACACCCAGTCATCGTCCAACATTTATCCTTTGCTTTTCATTTGCAACATTTTCAGCAGAGTCGGAGTCACTAAACAAAATTGCAACTCCAGATTCAATAGTAAAACTTCTAAGTATTGCATGTGCGTGTACAAAATATTCAATTAACCTTTTATTCATGCTAAAAGTCAAAAAACTTATCATAAATTTGGAAAAAAAAAATATTTTAACTTATCACGTAATATTTTTTAGAGAATTCAAGGAATTCTTCAAAAAAAATTTTGGAGTTGGTGTAGGAGTCATAATCTGAAAATTTTAACGACTTGAGTCAAAGTCAGTATTTTTTTTTTACAACTCTGCACCCCTGGTTTAAAGCTTTCCATGCTTCCCCTACCCAATGTGTAAACAAAATTTACTCTCTTTTAACAAAACAATTTTAATATGAAAAGCTAGTCCTTGTTAGCTTTTAAATAATTTTTTGCTATGTTTGCATTCAACACTAGTTTCAACAGCTTCTAACGGCAATCTGATTACACTCATTTCTCTATGCTTAACTTTTTTTATGAGACCAAACGTTGCTAATGTAGGCTGCTTTCTCTTTATTCTCTTTGACATTATTATTTTTACTAGCTGAGATCAGACCTGTAAAAATATGGGTCTGGTAAGTCTATTCCAAATGGAACTTTTTAATACTTTTTCCTTATATATTCTAGCATTTTGAATCCGTTAAATACAGGACCTACTATTTCTATACATACCTATTCCACACCGATTATTTCTATATCTATTCCTTATTTACTTCAATACTTTTAAGTAAAATAATTTTGTTATGAAAAACAAAAATATAGACTATAAATCGCCCACAAATTATGTTATTTTTTAAAAAGTAGAAGAGATCTTTAGTTCTTTAGGATGGTGATTTTCATTAAACTTAATGAGCTATATAGATTTTTTATCTAACCTACGACTCTGTGAGGAAAAACTTAGGTCATTTTTGTTTTCTTCAAATGTGAAATTTAGCGTTAAGTAATTTATAGACGACCCCTTATTTTAAAGTTTAAATAAAGGATCAGCCAAAAAGTATATAAAACCAAAAATAATAGATTATAATACTATTTTGATGGTTATCTAAATTATATTGTTATTGCGCACTCGGTTTTGAATGTTTAACGGAGGCTGGGATTAATAGCTGTATAACTCTAAATTTCTTTATTGTATCAATATTAAATAACTTTAACTTTTAATTATTCTAAAAAGTAATTAATTTAATAAAATGGTTTCATTTATTTACAAATTAGAATTTATAATTATGTTCTTATTAAAACATACTTTTTTAACCCCCGTACTGTTTTGAAAAAGTCAAGGTCGCCGCGTGGGAAGTTCAAATTATCAGCTTGCTTTATTTTTTTATTTTTATTTTCATGATCCATAAATATGGGTCTTGTAAATGTATTCCAAACTAACCTTTTATACTATATCCTTACTTCAATATATTAGAGTAAGAGGTAGGAAAATAACTATGCAAAAGTTGATCATTGTTTTCATTTTTAAGCTATAAAAAAAAAAATTCTATTGTAAATAATTTCAAATAAAAGGAGATGATTTAAATATGTGGAACAACAGACTTACCATGAGCCGTTTAATACTGGTCATGGTAAGTCTATTCCACACTGACAGAAATAACTTCTCTTTATTTCAATAATTTTTAAAGAGATAAATATAAAAATATTTGTTTTGATTCAATGGTGTAATCATGTTTTAATCTTTTAAAAAACTTCTCTCCTTTTCGTTTATTATAGCATATAATATCTTGATATATGTTCTGCATATAATATCTATAGGTTTTCAAAAATATTTTATTTTGTATTCTAGAAAATCGGAAAAGATTTAAAAAAAAATTAAGTGTTAACGAAATAATTTGAAACCACGCGAAGCACTTTAACCACTTTGGCATGTTTTAAAAGAATAAAATATAATCTAAATTATATTTATGTAATTAATGTATTGACTGGAAATCAATTTTTTCATACATAATAACAAAACAAAATATATAAAAAAAAGTATGTTTACAAAAAAAAATTTAACTAAATTTGCATTACCAAAAAAGAATCAGTAGATTAACCAATATTTGGTTGAATTGGTAGAATAACGAACTACTTGCTTTTGCCCTAAATTTGAACCTACACCATGTGAGATGTGGGCCCCTCTATTTGTTCTGCAAAATGCTAAAAAAAAGCATTGTAAGATGTCTAAAATGAAGCAAAATTAAATTATATGCAATGAAAAAAAGTCAAAAAGGTAAAATAACACTGCAAACCAATTAACCTGTTGCTGATTTAACAATCAAAATCTCTAAGAAAAAAAAAATTACTTTATGTGTACCAGAATAATTTTTTATAATTAAAAAAACAAAAAATTAATGTTATTCGACCAGAAAAAAAAATTGTTCTTACCTTGTTGCAATAAAAATTAATTTCTATTCAAACTATTAGCTTATGATCAACATAGTAGACTTAAAATAATTAAAGCTTTCTAAGTTAAAACCATATTTTAACAAAGAGTAGACAAAGTAAACATAATAGTCTGTGGAGCACCAAAGTAGAACTAAAGAAATAGAATACCAACTAAATTTAAAATGTTTTTAATACATGATACTTGCAGTTAAAATCATAATAATAACTCTACCTTCACAAGATAAGAAAAGTAAAGTTCTTAAATCAAAAAAAAAAAATTAAAAAAGTAACTGTGATAACCAATGATTATGAAAATTAAGTATTCAAAATATTTTTAATGACAATATATTATTTTTACGTGGAAAATCATAAACAGTCTCAGCAGCTCTTAAATCATTCTAATATTTTGCATGTTCTTTTGACTTTTGATGGTATTTAGTATAAAAACAAAATGTACAACTTTCAACAAATTTTTTTGTAAACATAACTCAATTTTTAACTAAATCAATAAAAATAAAAAAATAAAAATCAATAAAGAAAAAAATCAAAAAAGAAAAAAAAATTGGTATTTTTGAAAGAATATATTTATTTACTAGAAAATAGATCAACATAAATATACATATAAAATTAATTGCATTCAAATACATTAGACAGAAAAATGCTAACTGCAATTTCACAACAAATTAGAAAATCAAACACATTTTATTTAAACAACAAAGTAAATATCTATTTCATTACATTAAAATGAATACAAATATTAAAACTTAAGATAAAGATATATTCAAATTTAAAACTTACAATATATGATATATATGATAAGCAATGGCACTAAAATTAAAATAACAATCAAATAAATTTTGTCATTTACTATTTAAATAATTAGGAACTAAATAAAAATAAAGCAAACGTAAATTTTTTAAAGTAGTAAATTTGAAAGATTCTTCAAAAGTATATTTAACTTGATAAAATATAACCTGAATATCACCACCAGACAATAACACTGTGCTAAATAATTAGATTGGTGTAAAACATGATTGAGCATCAAACAAAAAAAAGCAATAAAAAATAAAAACACTTATTAAGGTCATATTCAGCTTCTATAAAATATTAAGGTCATATTCAGCTTCTATAAAATTAACAGCTTGTCGAAAAACAATTTTAACACATTACCTACAAAACAGAACATGTTTCATTAACTAAAATGTTAAAAAGTGAAACTTTAGTAATTATAAAAACAGATTGAAAAATTACAAAATACAATTATAAATAAAATTTATAAATAAGAGTTTATTCAATAATTACAATTATAATATATAATATAGATAATGGTTAAAGAGATATTCAAAGATATTTATATGCGGTAGTGGTGTAGTGGTAGATCGCTCGCTTCATAAAGGAGTGGTTCCGAGTTCCATCCCCACCACGTTCCTGGTAGTACATCGCTCAACTCTTTGTCCGCGCAGCGGCCTTGTTCGTCATGGTTCGTGTTTCGGAGTTATAGAGTTAAGAGAGGGTTATAACCACAAATAAGTAGCCTCCTTGTCTTTAGTGGCCTTCTCGGCCTTACGGAGGTGAATTAAAATAAAAAAATTTTTTTTAAAATTTAGAGATTTAAAAAAAGAAATTTTAAAAACTTATCGCGTACACTTCTACAGTGCCTCGTGCATCACCTCATGCATCATGTTAATTATGTCATCTAAATTTTGATTAGATTGTTTAACGGGGGCGTTGTTAAATAGTTGTAAATTTCTAAATTTCCTTATTTTGTTAATATTAAATAATTTTAACTTTTATTATATTTTTAAAAACAATAAATTTGAAAACATAGTTTAGTTTAAATATAAAATTAAAACTTTTAATTATGTTCTTAGTAAAAACATACTTTTTAAACCCTTACCTTTTTTAAAAAAAGTTAAGATCGCTTCATGGCAAGTTCATCAGCTTTCTTTGCTTAAAATACAAATCAAAAATCTTTATAGTTTTATAGATTTTAAATTATATAGTTAAACATGTTATTTACTAATTTTGCTTGCACGAACTCAACTTTATTGTAATGTTAAACTAAAATAACATAAGTATCTCCATAATGACACATGCGCAAAAAAATACGTTCCAAGGGACACTACTACTATTAAAAGTATTAAGTTCGGCAATAATATATAATAGATTTTTAACAGTATCTGAAAATAAGACTTATAAATAAAATAAACATTTTGAATACGGTATTATATAAACTACCCATTAAAAGCGAGATAAAACAAAGAGAGAGAAATAAAACACTTCAGAGCAACTTCTAAACTTTATGTTTTTCTGTTTACGTATTGAGGTTTAGGTTTTGGTACACAATGATTTCATTACTTCATAAAGTCAGTGCATTGGAAAACATAAACTTCAATTTTGTTATTATTTTTTTATTTTATTTAGAAATACATGTATTTAAAGTTTTTGATTAAATACAATTTAAATCTTTTAAATGGTTTATCGAAGCTTATGAATATGTTACATATGTCTTTTTTTTTAATCTGAGCCTTCATATGCTTAGAAGCATTATTCTTATAAAAAAAAACACATTTGTTTTGAAATATATATATATATATATATATATATATATATATTATATATATATATATATATATATATATATATATATATATATATATATATATATATATATATATATATATATACATATATATATATATATTGTGCATTAGGTGCCACTCTCCTCATTAAGCTTGGTTTATAGATGTATCTGGGAAAGTTATTTAAATTATTGAACTATCATTCACTACTAACCTCTTAAAGGAATATACAATCTTTTGCACCAAAGTTAGCACCTGCTAAGTTGCCTCTTCTTATCATGGTTGCCTTTTTCTTATTTCTGATTTAATTCTCTACCTCTATAAATCTTATATTTGTCTCTTGTTCATATAGAATAATATTGCTGTAGGTTTTTCTCTAGTTGTTAAGCTTAAGCCTGCCTCTTTCTTGGCAAGTGGCATTTCTTCTTCAGCTCTATTAATACTTCTATCAATCTTTACTCCTGTGATACTCCCCATTTATTTAGCTTTGAAAGTTCCTTCATGTTCAAAAGCTTTTGTTTATCTAGTATTTTTCCTCAGATAATGAGTTTTTTTTTTCTTAGACATCATAACCATGAATCTTTTGACAATCCCCTACGTAACATATGATAACCACCTAGGAACCTTATAATAACCTTTGATAGTTGGATGTTGAAGTTTTTATTGTTTTTAATTATTAATTTAAAAAAATTTCTCAGATAGGCTAAATATTAGCTTAAAGTTATATTACTAAATATTAGCTAAAGTTATATTATTTTTAGTAAGAAATTCTTAGAAAATTTGTTATTTTAACAAAAAAAAAGTGGTTTTTATAAGTAATAACTTTATTCAGTTATAATTAAAAAGTTTGTTTTTAAACTAACAACTTTATGCTTAAGTAAGAAATGATATAATAAAATAAAAGTTACTATACTGACTAATATTTAATTCTATTTGTTGACTTTTTTTGCAAAGTTTTTTTTGGTTATTTTTTTCTATTTGTTGACGTTTTTTTGCACAGTTTTTTAAAAAAAAGTTTTTAATTAAAATCTGTTTTTAGTTACAGTTTTTTTTTTAGTTTGGTTTTCAGCAATATATTACTGCTGAATTTTTATTAAGATAACTTTCCGGGATTTTCATAGTCAAATACTTTCTATGATATATATATATATATATATATATATATATATATATATATATATATATATATATATATATATATATTATATATATTTATATATATATATATATATATATATATATATATATATTTTTATTTTAATTCACCTCCTCAAGGCCGAGAAGGCCACTACAGACAAGGAGGCTACTTATTTGTGGTTATAACCCTCTCTCAACTCTATAACTCCGAAACACGAACCTTGACGAGCAAGGCCGCTGTGCGGAGAAACGAGTTAAGCGCGGTACTACCAGGGACGTGGTGGGGATCGAACTCGGAACCACTCGTTTATGAAGCGAGCACTCTACCACTGCACCACTACCGCATATATATATATATATATATATATATATATATATATATATATATATATATATATATATATATATATATATATATATATATATATATATTATGTATGTATATATGTGTATATATATATATATATATATATATATATATATATATATATATATATATATATATATGTATATATATATATATATATATATATATATATATATATATATATATATATATATATAGTTTATTTTTAATTTTGTGACAGCCCTATGGTTGGTTACATAGACAGATCTGAGTTTAAGATGCTTTTGGCTAATTTATATTTGGCACCATCAACAATTTGAGAAAATTCTGATTTGTAACTTTTTTTATTTTAATATAAAATTAAAAAAGTTACAAATAAAAAAGTTGTTTTTATATGTTTAATAAAAAATTAAACATATAAAAACAACTTACCTTATATAAAAACAATCTTATATAAAAGGTCTTTTAAAATAATAAATATGCTAAAGCCAGCATGAAAAAGTTTTTTTCTGGAAAACCTTACAACAAACTACAAAAAAATATCAACTTAACACCATTTATAAATAACTTATTATTCAAATTTTATAAAATCCTAATAAAATGATCATTATTGTCATAATCGTAAATACTATCAAAATCATGATGATAGCTTTACTAGAAATTGTTTTATTTAGATTTGTTGAGGATGTCGGCTGAACTAAAGAAATTTTATCTTGAATATTATGGGAAAATCAGTGAACTTCAACCACTATTAAAAGGATCTGCCGATGTTGATCTAATACAAAATTTTGTTGATTTGTGTATTGTTGATGCAGTGAATGCTCAAAGGGATGCTGTTTTTAGTGTTGAACCAAAGCAATTTCTAGAAAACCAAACAAGTTATGCACCAATTCCATATAATGAAATATTTACAAAAGAAAAATCAGTAATATTAATTTCTGGAATAGCTGGTATTGGGAAAACATGGTTGCTTAGAAAATGTTTGCTTGATTGGTCAAATTATTTAATTTGGAAAAATGTTAAACTTGTATTTTATTTGGAATGCAGGAGACTTAATCATTATTCAAATATTTCTAATATTAATGAATTACTAAATATTTTCTACAAAGATATTGTGAACAACTTTAATATTAGTAATCATACTGCACTGTTTATAATTGATGGATTAGATGAGTTTAAATATTTAAATGAGTTATTAAACCCAAGTTTGACTTGTAACAATCCAATTGTTAATGCTTTAGCAGATATTCAAAAATACAAACATGTAATTGCTGGTAGAGTTTATGCAATAGATCAATACCTAAGTATATCTACAGAACATAGCAATAAGTTGACCATTCAAGTAATGGGGTTTAATGAAAATGGAATAAATTATTATGTAGAAAATCATGTCATAGAAGAAAAAAAAGAAGTTGTAAAAACAACTTTAAAGGAGTCTCCAATTGCAAAAGCCATGGCATCTGTTCCATTTTATTTATCTTCCATGTGTAAAATTATTAATGATTCAAAAAAACTAAATGAAAATTATTTTTTAACAATGACCGAATTGTATGCAAGTAATTTTTTATACTTTTTGCAAAAACACATTATTAAAAACAATGGACTGGTTTATCAAATGATGGCAAATGAAAACAATAAGAATTATGTTTTAAACATTTGTAGGATAGCTTATAAATTGTTTATTGAAAATAAAGTTATTTTTTCAAAAGAGGAAGTTTTACTATTTATCAATGACTTTAATGAAGTTGAAGAAAGTTTGTTTGGTTTTATTGAAAGGGTCGAAACACATCTAGGTTATTATTACCAATTTGCACATTTGACCATAATGGAATTTTGTGCATCTGTATATGCATATAATTGTTTAAGTAATGATGAGATTATGAACAGTGAGAGGCTGAAAAGTTGTTTTTCAATGATTTGTGGATTAACCAATAAAAATCAAAACAGTTTATTAAAGTTTCTTGTTAACCTGAATCCTTCAAAAAGATCCAATGATGAATCTTTACTTTTGTGTTCTATTTTGTGTAAGTTCTAAAACTTTGTTGCATTTTTATATTAGTCGTTTTAGATAATTATCTAAATTATTAAACACACTAATTGATTATAATCAATTAGTGTGTTCAATAAGAATTTAAAAATTTTGAGCTTCTTACTTTTTTATTATTCAAATATGGTTTTCTGTAGATTTCTTTCTTTTTTTTTTGTAGATTTCTTTCTTGTAGATTTTCGAATGCAAATAAGTGTTTTTGTATATATATTTTTTTTCAGTTGGAAAGTTTCATTATTTGATTTTATTTATAATAAAAAATTATTTTGCATGTTTTGTTTTTATGTTATTTAATATTAATATTTTTTGTTTATTTATGTTTTTAAATGTTTGGCAAGTTTTTAAGAATTTTTCTTTAAATTAATTTGCTTAAGCATACAATAGTCACACAAAAAAGAATGTGGAAAGTATGGCACATATTTCTAACACTTTTCTTTTAAAAGTGGTCGCAAAATGATTTTACAAAAGTAAAAACGTTGTATGACCAATGCTCACTATATAAATGCTAATAATGCTTATGTGGTTTTAGTCAGTTTAAGATATAACTTTTTTGTTTTGTGTTTTTCTTATTTTAGAGTTGATTAAATGGTTTTTCTTTAGGAAAAAATTTTCTTTTTGATTGAAATTGCTTTAAAAAATGAAACATTTTACTTTGCCACAAGGTAAAAAAGTAAAATGTTTCAGTACACCTACATCCAAAAAAACATTTAGAGAGCAAATATAATTTTAAATTTTGTTTAAAGTAACTTTTGAGATAAGTAACTTGGGAACTTTTATTGTTTACACAGTTTTAACAAATTATTACTTTTATATATTGTTTTTATTTGTATATGACATGTGTATTTTTTATGCTCAATTTAAATCTTTGTTATTTCAAATTTTTCTTTAATACTACAAATGTTTACATATAATAATATTAAATAATTACAACTTTACACAACAATTGTGTCTTAAAGAAATATTAAAAATCTGATCGTCTGAAACAAAATTTCCTGAAAAGAAAAAAAAACTTTTAAACGTTTAATTGTTTTCTTCATTTCTCACTTTGTTTCTGCAAAATATTAATTTAATTAGTAATGCTGGTGCTCCATCTGTAAACTTTCTGGTGCTAATGAGTTTTTGTCATTTATTTCAAATATAACAGTATTTGTAATCTGATTTCACTATTCATTTGTTAACAGATCATTAAGTTTTATGTTATTAAAACAACCTTGTGTTATTCCCTATGACTTTTTGCTAGTCAGATCAAAAAAGGTTTATTAATTTACTTCTTGGCGTAATGGTTGTTCTCAAGTTTAGCTTTTATATTTTTTAGATGTTTTTATATGACTTTTTATTGCTCATTGGCTTATAACAGATTTTATAAGGCTAATATGGCATAAGTTCTGAATATGCTACAGTTCCTAAAGATCAACTGTATTAGCATATATTTATCAGAGAGAAGGTATAGGAAAGTACTAAACTTCCATGCTAACTTTACTGAAGCTTGTTGGACTCACTAATCCTGCCCGCTGGTAAAGTCAAGTGTGTTATTCTGATATCAGCTTCATAGGATATAGGCGATATTGTATAGTGTTATTAAACATGTGTAATTAAATTTTATTACATTGTAAGGTGTATAAATGTTCAAATATAACATCAGCATATTGTAACAAGTTTTTGTTGTTGCTTCTTGCAGGACTAAGAACAATAAAATATGTGTTTTTTCTTAGCATTTTACCTTGAAACTAGGGTATCATATTTTAAACAACAATTTATCAGTATTCATCATTAATAGTGACTGAAATCAACAGAAAAGGTTATTTATTTCTATTTGTTGACTTTTTTTGCACAGTTTTTTTGGTTATTTTTTTCTATTTGTTGACGTTTTTTTGCACAGTTTTTATAAAAAAAGTTTATAATTAAAATCTGTTTTTAGTTACAGTTTTTTTTTTTAGTTTGGTTTTCAGCAATATATTACTGCTGAATTTTTATTAAGATAACTTTCCGGGATTTTCATAGTCAAATACTTTCTATGATAAAATTAAATTTCAAATCAAAATTAGCCAAGAGCAGCTTTGCTTTTTACTTGAAATTTTGATTTACTTAGGTTTTAGTTTTATTGGTTATAGTTATTGATTCCATATACATTATTTTACCATAGACAAAGTAGATCAGAAACTTAGATTAAAACGTTTTTATTTTTAAACAAACGTAAACAAATTTCGACAACTCTTGTTGTTTATAGATTGGTTATTTCAAACATTAAAAACCTTTCTACGCCACTGTGTGTGTGTATATATATATATATATATATATATATATTATATATATATATATATATATATATATATATATATATATATATATATATATATATATATATATATATATATATATATACACACACACACACAGTGGCGTAGAAAGGTTTTTAATGTTTGAAATAACCAACCAATAAACAACAAGAGTTGTCGAAATTTGTTTACGTTTGTTTAAAAATAAAAACGTTTTAATCTAAGTTTCAGATCTACTTTGTCTATGGTAAAATAATGTATATGGAATCAATAACAATAACCAATAAAACTAAAACCTAAGTAAATCAAAATTTCAAGTAAAAAGCAAAGCTGCTCTTGGCTAATTTTGATTTGAAATTTAATTTTAAATTGATAGTGATAACAGTTTTAAAGTTCACTTTTCAAGTTTACTTAGCTGTAAGGAAACATTTTAAATTATAAAAGTTGTAAAAATAAAACAAAGATTAAAAGCTGTTGGTCTAACAAGTATAATGTAACTAAAAAATTTTATTACTAAGTAGAAAATAATTTAATTTCACTATATAATTATTGTGTCTATTAATAATGAAAATACAATAAAACTTGTTGGAATAATAATATAATGATTGTATATAATTCTTATTTTTATCTTAACTTTTTAAAACGTTTTAGTTCTACAGTTATTTCTTTTTTGTTTCTTTTTTTCCTTGTAAATTCTCTCAATCAGATTTAAATACCTTTTTTAAAGATATTTTTGTTTTCAATTTAATGTGTCTGTGCCTTAACCAGACTTCAATTTGTCTTTTGATTTGTTTATCTTAAACAAAAGTTTTTAATCTTATCACAAATAGTATTTATTGTAGGTGTCGTATGAGTTTTAAACTGCTTTTTTCACTTTAAGTGATAAAGCAGTGTAAAAATATAAAGTCTAAGTTATTGTTTTTTTTTTAATACTGAGGTATTATTTGATTGCATTTTCAACCAACTGTGTTTTTTTATTCGTTTTTTTTTCGTTCTAAATTTTCGCGATATTTGTACAATATAGTGCTATTTTAATTGTAAATCAACAGTTTGTTGATACAATTAAAAATTGTAGAACTTGTTTTTCTTTCTCACATAATTATAGAGAAATGTTTATATAAAACAATTGTGAAAGAGGAATTGTTATCATGTTTACGTTAAAAAATTGTTACATGAACTATTATTTATAATTTTTAAAACAAGATTTTTCAACGCCGAATTGATAGGATAAAGTGAAAAGTATTTTCCCTAACCCTATCCATATCACTGCACCTATCCAATCACTTAGTCGATGTACACCTTCCCATGTTCTCCCCTAATTCAGTCAATATATGTTCTGAGGCCCCCCAAAACCTAACTTTTTTTGTGCACTTAACCCGTTAAAAGTGTTCGCATTTTACCAATACCACAATTTGTTCTTAAAAAGATAAATTCGTCAAAATTTCTTATCGATATCAAAATGAAATTAACAAATATTCTTTTTTCAAAATATTTTAAGAAATTTACTTTTTAAAAAAATTCAGTTAATTTTAAATCTGTGTTTAAATAGTTTACGTTTTTTATATCATTTTAAAACTATCGAACTACAAAATTTGTTTTGGATGAACTTATAATAAATTAAAATAAAAGAAAGATTTATTATATTTTATATTGTTAATATAAAATACAATAAAAGAAAGTATTTTTTATTTGAATAATTTTTGTTTATATTATATTTAATTATAATGAATAATTTTTGTTTATATTATATTTAATTAATTTATATATAAATTTAAAATATTTTTATTTAATTTTTAATAATAAAATTATTTTCTAATAAAAATGTGATATTTAAATTAATTATAAATTATATTTAAATTAATAAAATTTTCTCTATACTTTTATACGTTTTTTTGAAGAATTTTTTTATTTAAAAGATTTAATATTTTTATATATTTGATTTATCATTAGCTTATGTATATTAAATTATTATTAAAATAAAATATATTTAACAAAAATAATGAATTGTATATATTTTTTCATTTAATCATAATGTAATATTAATATATGTTTAAATATATCAAATATTCTATTGTATATAATGTTATAAATTCGGTTATTGTTTTCATTATCATTTATTTGTTTGTTTACTTTTATAATTTATATTTAATTTTACTTTAGATCGCCTGAGCAAAAGTAAACACTCTAAAGATTACCGTGATTTATTCGTTGAATGTTTTTATGAAAGTCAATCAGCATTTACTGATAAAATAAAATCAATTGTTGATAAACAAAAGTGGTGGAATGTTTCGATAAACATTGGAAAAACTTCTTACTTAACTTCTTGCGAAAATTTCTTCATAAATTATTACATAAAATCTGGAAGAATGTTAACGTGGTTACGTGTTGATAAAAATATTTTAAGTGATGAAGAAAAAAAACTTTTAATTCAATGTTCAACTAATGTTCACGAAGTCACTTTTTTTTGTCCAATTAATTTCGAGGGATGGAAACCGAAAAATAAGATTAAAGAGTTGTCGATATTGATCTCAAAATATTTAATAACAAAAAAAGATTTTGAAGAAAACTTTCTACCATGGGTAAACCTTTGTGAAGAATTAAATCTTCGACTTCACGACGATATTGATTTTATTAAAAAAATTTGTGAATGGATTCGTTTTTCGGATATCAAGAGGTTTGTGATCTATTACCGTGAAAAAAATTTTTATAACTTCGATGAATTAAAAAACTTTACAACTCAATGTTTAATACTTTGAATATATTTAATAAAGATAATAATTATAAATAATTTATGAAATATTTAATGTATTATTTTTTAATAAATATGTTTTTAAATATAAATAGTAATCTTTATATTTAAAATATAATAGCAATAATATCATTGTTAATGTTGTTATATTTTCAATTTTTAATTACTTAATACTAATACTATTAAGTTATTATTGTATATTTTTAAAAACTATTTTTTTAATAATATTAAAAAATAAATATTTAGTAAATATTTGATGTATACTTTTGTTTTTTATTAAGTTTAAGAATTTTCTCTAAATATGCGAAATAAATTAAATATTAGATTTTTTATTTCATTAATAATTTTTTTTTAATAGTATCGTGTAATGTTCAAGGTTAAGTCATAATTTTTTTCTCAAAAACTCTCGCTCAAAAAAACACCACCTTTCAATAAATTATTGATCAGTTTTGAGTAGGGATGTAGCAAAAATGTTTTAAAAGTTTATATTCTAAATTTTTTTTATCTCAGGACATAAGGCTTATTATAATGAATCTCTGTACAAAATTTAAAGTCAATTGGACAATTACAGCTCCTGCAATCTTTGCCAGAAAATTAGAAAAATAAAACAGAGAAAAAAAGCATATAAAATTAAAAATATTGAATATACAAACTTATTAAAATCCCCCTTTTTTATATACTGCTCTTCTTAATTTTTGTATTTTTTATCAAACCCTTTCCTAGTTGCTTTAAGATTTTTTCTTTGTTTTTTAATTTTTTTTTTATTACTATTTTTTATTACTAGCGGTTGCTATGAGCGTTGCTAGGGGAAACAAAATTACCCTGCTAATATAAATCACTTTATACCCTACTACTATAAATCACTTTTATTAGTTCTAAATTTTTTTTCTCATACAAAGATCTATATATTTTTAGACTCTACATCAGTTACTGTTTAAAACAATGTCACTTTTGAAAAATCGTTTTTTTCTAACTGATAAAATCATAAAATCACCTAATCGACATAAAAAGAGTTTTCACCAATCAAAATAAATAAAATGGTGACAGAAAGAATTGGGGCATAAATATTTCTTTTTTCTGTTCCATTTCAGGCATATGGAAACACTTTTGGGTACAGTCGACTCTCGATGTCTCGAATGCTTGATATCTCGAACTTTTGAGTATCTCGAACTTTTTTTAGCGGTCCTATGGACATAACGTACTAGTTTAGGCTAAAATCCACTCGATATCTCGAACCTTAATATCTCGAACCTTTTGGTATCTCGAACAATATTTTCGGTCCACAGGACAATTTTCTCAATTTTTTTTTTATTTCAAAAATGTTTTAATAAAATTGAATTTTTTTTTAATTCCAATTTTCGAAAAAAAAAATTTTTAATTCGATTTTCAAAATTCGATTTTTTGTGAGAATCGAATTTCTGAAAAGTTTTCCTTTACTACACTCTAAGAAAAAATTCGTTATATTCAACAAATTGTATATTCACTAACGGGAAATCCGTTAAGTTAACGAATTAAAATTTTAACGAATTGAACTCTGTTAGGAATAGTCCGTTGAATTTATGGATTTATTTCGTTAGTGCAACGAATAATCCGTTAAAATTATAGAGTTATTACACTAGGCAGCAAATTTTCCGCGGTTGTTATTACTATGAAATAAATGTGTTAATAAGTTATTTTAGTGATTATTTCGTTAAAGTCACTAAAATCTAAAATTAGAGAGGCCAGAATTGTGACTTCATAACCAAATAATCCTTATATTTGTTAATGTTTGTATTGTTATTTAATTGCATTATTTTATTTCGATATTCTACATTAAAATGTTTTAACCAAAAATTGAAAACTAGTCAAATATTTATAATATTTAATCCAATATACTTTAAATTAAAATAAAAATAGTTAAAAAAAATATTTTTAATACACTATACTCAAGCTAGTACATTTATATAAAACACACACATATATATAATAGATGTTTAAAATAAACCAATTCCAAGATATTAGTTTTTGGTCGCTAGTTTTGGTTTGGTTGGTTTAAATAGGTTTTGGTTTTGAATACTGTTGTTACTCGTACACAGGTTCGCACTTTAAATCGGATACCATGCTGTCAACTCCTTAAAGATTAATATAAAATAAAATAAAGAAAATATGGAAACTTAATAACATATCTCGTATAAAACCAAAATAAAATGTTATTGATAACACTATAGAAAATGTTTTTGGTAATTCATTATATATAAATTTCTATTCTAAATTTTGTTATTTTAATTATCTCTGATATCGTTTTCTAAAGATAAAGTTAAATGGAACAAGTAAATTATACCTTTATTAAAAGGTAAATTAAAAAAAAAAGTATAAGATTACGTTGACATTATCTGATAACTGAAAGACTCTATACATTTCACATACATCAATACCTATAAGGAGCAAAAAATAAGGTCTTTGACCTTTTAAAAGCTATATAAATCAAAACAAGATTAAATATGCAGACCAAAAAAAACCCAAGCAACTATATAAAAAAATTAATTTTACAATTTATCTAAACTTACAGTGTCATATTACTTGTCACATGTTTAAAATCGCTAATTCTAAAATAATAGTGAATATAGAATATAGTAGAATAATAGTTAAAAAGGTGTGATATAAACTTAGTCTTAACTAAACTAAATAAATATGCATGCCAAAAGAAATGCAAGTTAAAATACAATTTTTTTAAATTTACTAATTCAAACTTACAGTGGGATATCACAAGCCACGTGTCTAAAACAGCAAGTTCTAAAATAATATAAACACGCCAGATATAAACTTATTATTATTATTATTAATAGTTGAAACTCAACTAAATAAATATGCACGCCAATAGAAATGCAAGTTACAATATAAATTTTACAGCCAATTTAAACTTACAGTATGACAGCTTATACCAAGTGTCTAAAATTGCAAATTCTGAAATAATATAAACAAGCTATACACAAACTTAGTTGTAATCTAATTATATAAACATAAACGTCAAAAGAAATGTAAACTAAAATATAATTTTTTTTTAATTTACTAATTCAAACTTACAGTGGGATACCAGATGCCATGTGTCTAAAACAGTAAATTCTAAAATAATACAAACACATCAGATATAAACTTAGATTAAACTCATTTAAATAAATATGCAAGTTACAATATAAATTCTACAACCAATTTAAACCTACAATGTGACACTAAATGCCATGCCTCTAAAGCAGCAAATTCTAAGATAGTATAAATAACTCATGTATAACCTTAGTTGTAACTCAATTAAATAAACATGAATGTTAAAAGAAATAGAAGTTCCAATATAAATTTTTTAATTTTATAACTAGTTTTAACTTACAGTGGGATAACAAATGCCATGTGTCTAAAACAAAAAAATTGTAAAATAATATAAACACACCAGTATAAACTTAGTTTATATTGAATGCCACAGGTTTAATTTGGAAATTAATAAAAATTGCAATTTATAAAAGCATATTAACTAGCCATGTACACTTAGCTGTAACTAACCTTAATAAATATACCTATCAAAGATGTTAACATTTTTAATTTTACAACTAATTTAAACTAATATGGTATGTTACTACATGTCGTATGTCTAAAATATAAAGTTAAAAAAGACTATAAACAATCCATTTAGTCTATATTATAGAAATAATTGTTCAACTAACTCTTTACTACTAGTAAAGGATTAGTTGAACTTTTATTTCTATAATATAGACTATATGGATTGCATATATTCTTGCATAATTTTCTAGATTTAGACATGTAGTAACTTACCATATATGATATGTATTAACTTAAATATTGTTATTATATATTATTTAGTAATACTAATGGCTTTTAATTTAAAATAAAATAAACCTTATTGTTAAATTTTCTATATAAAGCTTTATATGGAAATTTTTAAATAATCTAAAAAACCTTCGAAATTACAAATAACAGAGCGTAATTTAAATTATATTTATCCATTTGCTTTGTCTGCTAAATGTAAAGCTTTTTAAAAAATGGCATATTACACTTACTGCAACCAACTTTTATCTACGATGTAAATGTAAATGTGAGAAAAACGCATTCAAAACTTTATCATTTTCAAAATAAAAAACTATAATATACTGAAATTTTTTTTTGACCGATTAGAATATTTATTTCGTTGAATTAACAAAATTTCAAAGAATTCATAAATAGTTAATTTTACTCCGTTAATTTTCTGGTTTTTGGTAACAAATTAATCCGTTAATTTAACGAAAAAGCGCAATCCGTTACTTTTTTTAACAGACTGTTTTTAGAGTGAATATTAATTTATTCTTTTTCTCAAACGCAACAACATGCCGCTCGTTATACGAAAACTCACGAAAAAATTTATAAAAGAAAAATGCAAAGCATTAAAAGACCTTGAGACAGAGATGTCTAACAAAGAGGTTGCCAAAAAAGTATGGAGTCCCAAAGAACAGATTATCAACCTGGATTAAAAATAAAACCAAGTTATTAACCTTACAAAATCTGAGGTTACAAAATGGCACAAAATCTTAACAGAAGAAACTTTGTAGTGTAAATGTAGACAAGGCCATATACAAGTGGTTCGTTGCAAAAAGAAGTCAACAAGTACCAATTGATGGTACCATACTAAAAGAAAAGGCACTGAAATTCGCAGAAGCATTAGGAGAGTTGGATTTTAAAGCATCTGATTGTTGGTTTCATAATTGGAAAGAAAGGTCAGTTAAGTTTTGTCAAATCTTGTTCAATTTTAATATAAACAAATAACATGTATCTGTTTATATTTAATTTATTAAGTTTTTTAAACGTGTAATTAAAATTCTATTATTCTGTTCCTATTTTTAGAAACGGCATCAGCTTTAAAATAATCTCATGCGAAAGTGCCGTCATGACGAATAATATGACTGCTTCGTGGAATGAAACTACACTTCCAACATTGCTTTTGAATTAAAAACTTGAAAACATTTTCAATGCCGATGAGTATGGACTATTTTACCAGTGCCTACCAAACAAAACATACCATTTATCACGAGAAAAATGTTTTGGGGAAAAAAATAGTAAAGTCAGACTAACAGGCATAGCAGCAGGGAGTGCTACGTGAGAAAAATTACCTTTGTTTGTTATTGGAAAATCTAAAAACCCACGGTGTTTTAAGCACATTAAACAACTTTCTTGCACATATAAAAATCAGCTAAAAAGTTGGATGACCGGAGACTTTTTTACAGAATGGGTAATGAAACTTGACTCATTTGTTCGTGCTCAAGACAGGAAAGTAGCACTTCTGGTGGATAATTAGTCTGCCCACCCACAAATTGCAAGGCTAAGCAACATAAACCTAATATTTTTCCCCCTAATACCACATCTGTCCTTCAGCCCATGGATCAAGACGTTATTGGAAGTCTTAAAGCTTATTATCGTCACAAAATTGTGCGTTTGTGTATCAAGGCTGTCGATAACAAAGAACAAAAAAGCAAATTTCTATACTTCAAGCAATGAAAGATCTTGTTTCTTCGTGGAATGCTGTATTGAAGGAGACTGTCATCAACTGCTTTAAAAAAGCTGGTATCAGCAAAACAAACAAGAGTATTGAAGAAGCTGATGATGATCATCCTTTTAAATTTTTGACAGAAAAACATTACCGTTTGCGAGAGTTAGATCCTTGTGCCGTCCAAGAAGATCTCTCAGCGGAATCTTACATTGGTTTAGATTGCGATGTAGTAACCACCGGTTCACTTGCTACTGATGCTGAAATCATTCCTCAGATTTTAGACCCTAATTTTGAAAACAACAATAATGAAGTTGAAGATAGCGTTGACGAAGCTATTGACGTTGAAGCCGCGCCACGCCCATTTGATATTCAATTAGAAATTGCTTTTGAAACGATTCAAAATGCTTTGCTATACAGCTCAAAATACGGAAATGAAATACAATCCCTAGCACTAAAACTTGAGGATTTAATGAAGATTGAAAAGATGGATAAATTAAAGCAATATCAGATAACAGATTTTTTTCCAAAAGTTGTAGTTTTTGTTGTTAATGATTCTTGTCAGAAAAATAACTTGTTTTAATGAATGTCGGGCAATTTTATTTATTTTCAATACTTTTCTTGATATCTCGAACTCTCGATATCTCGAACTTTTTTTCCGGTCCCTTTAGTGTGCGAGATATTGAGAGTCAACTGTACATTTTAAAATTAGAGCTTCTAGTGCACGCAGGGAAACAAAGCAATTTGTGCTAAATAGAGTGGGGAAATTTAACTGTTTATATTAATTAACAATGTTTAGGCACCATTCCTAATTCGAAACTTTAGGCTGTCCCACTTCTCTTCATTCTCCCCTATTTAGTTTTTTTTGCGCTTGAAACGTACACTAGAAAAGTTATTTCTTATCACCACTCGAAAAGATGAACACTTAATAATTTTATAATTAAAGAAGCATATAATTTACAGAAAACCAATTGCAGCATTCTGAAATAATTTTATGCATACTAAAAGACTTTGAAAGCGTTACAAAAGGTATGATTGCAGACATATCAGAGATCATAACGTTTCTCGACTATGCTTAGGACAAATCAACAAAAATCAGAACTGTTGTTGATGGCCTTTAAACTGATTTTAAAAGCCATTTTCATAAATACAAAAAAATGTTCGTCTGAAAAATGCAATGATACTCAAACCCCGTTTTAAATCAAACTTTTTTAATAAAGCAGCCCGTAGCATGTTAGGAAAACTTTTTATTAAGGGTACTACCAATTTCATTTGGAGTATTAACTGTATTTAATTATTTAATTAATAAATAAATATTTAACTGTATTTAATTAAAAAACAAAAAACAAAAAAAAACAAAAAAAAGTATCAATACTATAAATAAAAGCTATGATATAAAAATTGCTATGATATAAAATACTATGATATAAAAATTGCTTTGCTTGATGTAAATGATCATTTACAACAAGCAAATGAAGTTAAAGACTTTTATCATGATGGCCAAATAAAAAAACAAAAAAACAAATATGACATATACAACTTCTTAGACCATATGGCTATAAATAAAAATGCTTCTCAGAAATGTGAAAACACGGATGGTGGGGGAAAAAAGTATAATAGTAAAAATACTACAGGAAAAACTCAAAATTTAAAAGAAAAATACGAATAAAAAATATCTAAATAAAATTGTTATTTTCTTAATTTATTACTAGTGTAATTAAAAATGATATTAATTTTCAAATTATCTTGTTCCATTCCGTTCCTAGAAATTTATTTACAGGATTAATTACACACTAGAATTGTCTGTAGACAAAATTATATTATATTTATATTATAGAAAGATTACTGCAAGCGCAAGCTATATACAGGCAGGCCATCTTTTCCTGTAGTTACGGGTCTGGTTGCATCTAATATTTTTAATTTTCCATGCACAGCATAATTATTTATCAACTATAAATATTTACTCGTTATTATAAATAAGTTGAATAAGAGTATTCTGTTAAATATAATTCAAGTCATTTTATGGTTAACTTTTACTTTAATGAAGCTAAGAGTTCTCTTAAACTAAGAAGCCAAGAAAAATAAAAGTGAGCTCAACTAAAAAAATGTATAAATAAATTTATATTTCATTAGAGAAAGTAAATAAAGATCAAATTGTTAGTAATGATTTATTTACTACTAACCCGTATTACGGGTTGCTTACTGTATAAATAAATTTATATTTTATTAGAGAAAGTAAATAAATATCAAATTGTTAGTAATGATTTATTACTACTAACCCGTATTACGGGTTGCTTACAGCTAGTCAACTATAAAAGTTTATTCGTTATTATAAATAAGTTGAATAAGAGTATTCTGTTTCCTTTCTTGATTAAAGATTAAAAAAAAAATTTCTTTTTTTTCTGTTCTTTATTACATTTTAAAATATGACGTTAATTTTTTATATAATTTACAAGCTAAAATAAAAAAATATAAACAAATACAAGTGAAGATATTTAATATATATATAAAAAGAACACGGAAACTCGTAGAAGACCGTAAGGTCTTGTCATCGAGTACCGCGGTAAAAAGACGTTGTTTTTACCGTTAAATATTTTTACAAGTTAAATATTTTACGTAGTTAATAAAAAAGTGTTATGCAATAATAAAAGAATAACAAGATTTAAATTAAAAAAACTACAAAAAAATAAAAAGCTTACAGAAAATTTCTTAAAGATAATTGGACAGATAGTATAATAGCAATACAGGCTTGAAGATCGTAAATAATTGAGTTACAAATCGTATCAAGAAAAATTATACATTACAAATCATATAAACCGATATAAATAATAGATAAAAAGAATTTCAAAAGGTTTAAAAGTACATTTGTACATATTGTCAATTTCAAAAACAACTTCTTTCAACTTATTTTTAAAAGATATGTAATTCCATTCGAAAAAAAAATCAAAGTTATTTAAGGCAATTTTGTTCCAAAGATACGTCCCCGAAATGATACGCAAAATTTACAATGATTAGTTTTCAAAAAATGGTTGCATCAAAAAATCATCATTTTGTAGATTATATATATTTTTTTGTTTTTTTATAAATAAACTATGAAAAGGAGACGGGGATAATTTCATTTTACATTTGAACATAAAACAAAGAATGTTATATACGTTAAGTTGATACATGTTTAAAACATTCATTTTTCTTAAGAGAGGCTTTGAATGAGTTCGTCTATCACAAGAATTAACTAAACGTGCTATATGTTTCTGATGAGGATGAAGAGGTTCTAGTTTACTTTTGTTAGTACTGCCCCACGCAGTATTTGCATAGTTAGCATGGCAGTGAATAAGTGAATAATATATTTGCATTAAAGTGCGCATGTTTAAATAGCTTTTTGATTTGTATAATATTCCAATACTTTTTGAAATTTTGTTGCTTAAATTTTCAATGCGTTGTCTCCATGTAAGAATTTTCATCAATATATATTCCTAAAAACTGAGTAGTTTTTACTCTTTTAACTTGAATATTATCAATGAATATAGATGGCGTTTCGTATGGTATTAGTTTTTTTTTGGAAAGTGGGTGAAATAGAGTCCAGTTAGTTTTGTCAATATTTACTGAAAGTTTATTTAATTTGAACCAGT